TGTGTTTAGAGATGTATTCAAGCCATTTTAAGATATTTGGTAAATGTGTTGTTTAGCATCACCTTCAAGCCATTTTAAGACAAATGGATCAAAAGTTGTCCTGAAACCAATTACCCATTCTTATCTTTGATGACAATTTGGATCAATTTTTGATCCACTTCAAATGCCGACTATTGTATTTATCTCTGGATTGTATAAATGTGCCACCTGGATAACCAAAGATGGATTTTAAAGCCATTTGTTAGTGCAGATAACTTTTAAATATTTTACAAGAACCCACAGCTAATGACATGCATATTAGGCACACTATGGCTTGTTTTTTGCTGCCCCACTAAAAACATAGTCCATAATAAGAGTCCATCTCTCCAAGCCACACGTCAAATTCCCTGACTTTCATTGACCAAAAAGCTGAATATCCATGACCTATGGTGAACAGAAAAAAACAACTACAGATAGTATTTTAAGAGCCAGCAAACCACGTTTGATTGCTGGTTAACAAGTGAGAAATTAAATAAAATGGCACTGAAAAATAATCCAACCATAAAAATAGACAAGACAAGCCATATGAAACAGCACAAAAACAGCACACAAACACTGTGCAGAAAGATTACACTTTGCTAAATACAAAAGTCAATTTCTGTCCATTGTCTACACTGTCCTATTAATAAAAGTTGAAAATGTCTAAAAAATAAGGATAAAAAATAATATTCCTCCATTTCTACTATTTCTATTTTGATGATAAATCAGATATCTCCCCTAGATAAGATTTAGAAAGCCTGGGAAGAGGACTTTGGCAGTCCACTCTCAGATGCTATGTGGAATGGTGTTCTCAGTCAGGTTCACTCATCATCCATTTGTGCACGACGTTCTCTTCTTCAGGTTAAAATAGTATACAGAGCTCATATATCTAAAGTTAAATTAGCTCAAATGTTTCCTGGTGTCAGTTCTTTGTATAATAGATGCCAGGTTGCTGAGGGTACCTTAATGCACACCTTCTGGATTTGCCCTAAATTAGAAAATTTTTGGAGATCAATATTTTATACTATTTCTGTTGTGCTTCAATAAGGATCAGAGCCGGAACCACTTGTGGAATAATTTGGAATCACTCCAGAAGACTCGTGTTTATCTGTGTCAAAGTGTAAGATTCTTGCCTTCTCTTCTTTATTACCACAATTCTGTGAAAGAAAATGGGAAGATTCCCTTCCACCCACCTTTATTCAATGGACCAGAGAGATGATGTCTTGTCTTTACCTTGAAAAAAATAAATACTCTTTAAAAGGATCAGGTGAACAATTCTATAAAATATGGCATCCCTTTATTGATTATGTTGACCATATTAAGTAATAGCCTACAGGTATATATGTATATACAATATTTTTTGTTATTATCATTATGAGCATTGCTATGATTCTCCAAATACTGGTAATTTTAGACCGAGTAATTAAAAGTAATTGACCGATATGTTTTGTTCTATTCTAGGTGCGGTTTTAAGGTTTGTGAATTGATATATTTGGAAATTACGAAAAAAAAATATTCAAACAAAAATATTTATCCAGATATTCAGTGACTCATGGAAACCTTGTATAATATGCCAGATCTAAACCAGAAAAGAGTGTATGCCCAATCACAAGAGAAAACTAGAGCAAAATGAAGCATATTATGTAACAATAACCAGCTACCTGCACACTTTGCCTCCATAAAGTAACCACTGTCTTTAAGAGAACTATTCTTCAAAACAAACAGACCTTCAGTGATAAAAGAACAGAAGACAAGTTTAACACAAAACACTAATTCATTTTAATAATAAAATGCCTAACGCTGACTTGAAACACAACCTGTGAACCAGAATCAAAGAGAAAATTAGAAGGGAGGGGGCTGTATTTAATTGTTATTATCATTATTAAGATTGCTATGATTCTCCAAATACTTGTAATTTTAGACTGAAGTAACTGATCGCTATGTCTTGTTCTATACTAGGTACAGGTTATAGGGTCTGTGAATTAATATATTTGGAAATTAATAAAAACTATATAAAAAAAAAAAAAAGATAATCTAGATACTCAATGACCCACGGAAACATTGCATAATAAGCCAGATCTAAACAAAAAATAGTGTTTGTCCTATCAAATGAGAGAACTAGAGCCAAATGTAGCATATTCTGCAACAATGACCAGCTACCTGCACACTTTGCCTCCATAAAGTAACCACTGTCCTTCAGAGAAAAATTCTTCAAAACAAAGAGACCTTCAGTGATAAAGGAAAAGAAGACAAGTTTAACACAAAACCCAGAATTCATTTCAATAATAAAATGCCTAACACTGACTTAAAACACAACCCCTGAACCAAAAATCAAAGAGAAGATTAGAAGGGAGGGGGTTGTATTATTTTGTTATTTTCATTATTAACATTGCTATGATTCTCCACATACTTGTAATTTTAGACTGAAGTAATTGACAGCTATGCTTTGTTCTATTCTAAGTACGGGTTATAGGGTTTGTGAATTGATATCTTTGGAAAGTTTTTAAAATATATTCAAACAAAAAATAATCCAGATATTCAACGACCCATGGAAACCTTACATAATAAGCCAAATCTAAGCAAAAAAGAGGGTATGTCCAATCAAAATAGAAAGCTAGAACCATTTGTAGCATATTCTGCAAAAATAACCATCTAACTGCACACTTTCCCACACTTTGCCTCCTTTAGAGAATTATTCAGAAAACAAAGAGACCTTGAGTGATAAAGGAACACAAGACACGTTTACCAGAGAATACATTTGAATGATAAAATGCCTAACATTGACTTAAAACACAACCTGTGAACCAGAATCAAATAGAAAGATTAGTGAATCAAAAGAATGAGGAATACACTTAGACAAAAAGAAACATTGAACAAGACGTAGGAAGTGAAAATAGAAACGGTAGCTTTGCTTTTAACCTAGACAGCAGAACAGAGACAGAGTCAGAGTGAAAACTAAAGAATAAACAGCAACACAATTTAAGTTAAAAGTAAAAGAGACAATAATTCTTAAGATATCCGTGACCTAGAGAAAACAATTGAGATCAGATAAGAACTGAAATGTACACCAACAGACACACTGTGGTTTTTAGATGTATTGACCCAGTTGCACATGTCGCAAACATCATGACTCATAAAAAACAGACAACTCTTTAGTGGTTTTCATCCTACACGGGCGGCTATGAGGGGCATAACTGTGTTACGTGGGAGAGTGGTGGGCGATCAAGCAGTTCTGCAGGACATTTAGCTCATTGTGACCCGACAGCACAATGTAAGACTATAAGACGTCGGTGAGCTCAGCCAAGCAGCCGGAGCTACAGTATGAGCTCTGTGATGAATAGGGGAATTTGGAGTGACTGAATGAGCCTGTGACCACTGTGAATAACTGTGTTCTCCATGCTTGAGATATTGGAACGCCTCTCGGGCTCGCCATCATCGGAGTGGCATCATGAAAGGCTCTTTTGTGACCGGGCACACACTGAATGCGTCTTCCTTCGGGTTTGTGTCCAGTCTAAAAAGGCCCAGTGCTTTTGTGCTTTTGTCTGTCATTCTCTCTTTTCTTTTCAAGCAGGAGCTCGAAAACAAGCAGCAACACCAGAAAGCAAGCTATGGAAACCAAAGTGTGCTGCTGAGGAACTCAGAAAAGCTACTTCCTTGGATACATGGCAAAGTGGGGTTTGAAGTAATGACCAGTCTAACTGGCAGAGAGTGGACATTTGGAGAATATCATTGGTTTTATTCCAAAACTGATCAAATAATGTTGAATAACTACTTTGTAAATGAATATATAGTGTTTGCTTTAATTAATGGTGTATATTAAAGGTTTTATTTTAATTAGGGGTTTTATATACTTGTAAAATTATATAGTTTATAGTATATACACCTTTTATACTATAAAATGCTACATATTTCTATAATGACAGAAACAGAACTTTCAGTAGCCATAACTCATAATAGGGTATATGCAGAAGTATGCAGAGGGACTTTTCCAGTAACCTGGGTCAAGTGCTTTCGGTGGACTGTATACGGTTAAAAAATTGCTGCGTTTAAGGTCTGTTTTCTTAAAAAATAAGGTCAGTTTTTTTTTTTAAAATAATGATCTTCACTGCTTGATTGATATACGATATAAAGTGGGTTTCAGAATGTGCAAGAAGCACTGCATTAAATTACATTTTTCAGCATCATGTCTTTAAAATATGAGCATTTATTTTACCCCAGTATATTCAATGGAATTTCTGCGCTAGCGTATTGATCCTGACGAGCACATGCTTTTTATCTAATTTTACGCTTAAACAACTAAATGAATGCCGACATCTATTTAATTTATTATATTTTAATTACATTACAACATCAATGCTTTTAAAGGAACCATATAAAACTGAAAAAAGTCACATTAACCGTTCACCGAATGTTTATAGATATGGGAAGAAACATTAGCTGTACATATACCCTATTAAAGGCTTCAATGCACACAAACCTTCAGACATTATTCCATGTTGATTTTGTTAAAAGAATTTTAATTATTTTCAATGCTGCAAACAGATTTTTCTGCTTTGTCATTTTGTTGAAACTGCACAGTAAAATTCAAGTGTTTTGGGTTAGAAATATTGTAATAAATAAATTAAATAAAAACATAAAATTATTATTAATTATTTTAAATGAATTATTTTATTTCCATTTAATAATTTGGTGCCAAATCTGCGTATTAGAACGACAGATCATGTGACAGAGTACCAATGCAGTAATGAATGTTGAAAATGTGCCTTTTATCATGGGTTTAAACTACATTATAAAATAAATTTATATAAAAAAGTTTCTTCTTTTTTTTTTGTTTTATAAAAAATAATGTCTGTCTGTCTATTCATCCATCCATTCATTCATCCATCTATCTGTAAAATATACACACATAATACACATGCACACATAAACATATCTATATATCTAGCAGACAGACAGATTTAATAATCGTGTGTTATTATTACCTCATATGCTTGAGGGCTGGTCAGACATCGAGCCAATGGGCCGCAGCAGGCGGGCAGGGTGGAGGTCAGAGGGGGTCCGCTATGGGTCAGGATAGGCTTCAGGTAACTGTACTCAGGTTAAGGGAAAAAAGACTGGCTGAAGTGCCAATGTGTCTCTGTACAGAAATAGCCATGTCCCTTCTTTGTTAAACTGCTCTATATGAAAAAAAAAAAACAAGCTGAACCATAACATTAAAAATATGATAACTTTATAGCCTGGTTTTCTTTAGTGAGCTCATCCTGTCAGTGGTTGTGATGTCAAAAGCTAAAGATCTGCATATTTGTGATCCATGTTGAAGAGACACTACTCCCAAAAATGAAGAACTGATCCAAAATACAGGTGGCATTGGCTGCGTCCGAAATCGCCTGCTACTCAGTAGGTGCTGCATTTGAATTTAAACTAACTACTCAGCCATAGAAACATATGTTCTATACTGTATAAATGTGAGTAGTATGATTGGAACTCGGATGTACTACATCCACCATTTTGTAATGTTGCCGTGATCTACCCGTGTTAACTGCATCACATCATTTTCATTCATGATATCTCTCGTTAAGGCATCATAGGATAGCGTAGCGTGCAGGGGATGCACACTACAGAATCTTGCCGAAAGTAGTAGGTCATTCAGATACTTCTCTCGTACTGATTTTCGAACTATGTGAGTTCGAACATACTACTCGACTACTGTTTTTAGCATACTTTGTAGTATGAAAGTATGCAATTTCAGATACAGCCAATATTTTTAGTAGATCTATAAACAACTGTTTTTTTTTTGTTTTTAGGTTCATTGACAAATCATTAATGTGAAGTCAATTGCCAGCACTGTGAAAGTCAAAAATATACAAACACAATTTTGGCACAACAAACTTCATACACTAAAGTACTACAAGGCAAAATAATTGGTCTGTGCAAGAAACCGAACATTATTTACAACATTATAACCTTTAATCTACAGTCATGTTAACAGTCATCTCATAAGACAGTAGTGTCAAACTCAGTTCCTAGACGGTCACAGTCCTGTTTCAACACACTTATGCTGCGTTCACACTAGAGTTTTAGCATGCCAAATTCTGTCTTACAGCACTGCAAAAAGGGGCGGGATTAAACAAGATTATTCGATATTAAAAAAAGAGTGATTGGTCCATATTTTAAACTTTTGTCCAGAGAGATCGTGTTCTGATCTTCGATTGGTCTCATGCAGTCACGTGATGCGATTTCACAGGTCAGAGTTCACCAAGCTTGAACTTTGGAATGCAGCAAACTGCAAAACTTGTCGTACAATCTTGCGTGTCCGGTTTGTTGTATTCGTGTGCGTATAAGTCTATCGGGCGAAAATGCAGTGTGACCACGGCTAAACCTGTAGGTTTTAAACTAGCCTAAAGAACTTGATTAGTTTGATCAGGTGTGTTTAATTATAGTTGGGGCTAATCTCTGCAGAGCAGCGGCCCTCCAGGAACTCAGTTTGACACCAGTTTCATAAGACTTCAATATCTATTATTATTCATTCATCCATTTTTTTTTCGGCTTAGTCCCTTTATTAATCTGGGGTTGCCACAGCGGAATGAATCACCAACTTATCCAGCATATGTTTTACGCAGCGGATGACCTTTCAGCTGCAACCCATCACTGGGAAACATCCATACACACACACACAGACGCACACACACACACACACACACATACACTCATACACTACTGTCAATTTTAGCCAATCCAATTCACCTTTACTGCAAAGTTTCATTTTTTTCTGAGCTGCAATTATCTACAGTTCCTACTGCATTACCACATTATCTATTTAAGTTCATAACAGAACTAAATCAAAAATAAAGTCCATTTTATGAAGTCTATAAAGTTCCCATATGACTAATTTTAATTTCTATAAAATTTCACTGTACAAAAAGAGTAGCTTTGAACAATTTTTCAGTTCAAAAGCGGAACATTGGTTTTCAAACTCACATGGGTGGTTAAATGGCGAAAATGTATTTAGGTTAATTTATACCAGCCATAAAAACAAAATGACTGCAAGACTTTTTCCTTCCGACATTCATCCGAGTCAAACATTTCAAAACACCTGACAAATTCAAACCATTTAAAAATAGCACTGCTTATGAATGGAATCATCTAAATTAAGCACAGCCGCAGCATTCATTTCAAAACAAATACAATCGAGACTCAGTATCATAATCATGGAGTAAACAGATCGTCATCCCCCTAAATAGTTCATAGAGTCCATAGCACAGAGATCCAAACAGGACAGCGAGTACCCATTTGGCAGGAATACCGAGTTTCTAATATTTGACAGACGGGGGATAAAAATAGAGGAGGCGGCAGTAAAGTGTGGATGGCTTCGAACCAAGAACAGCCCATGATGGATTTGGAAGTGTATAATATTTTGAGGGGGCTTGAAATGGATGTCCCCTACAGAGTTAGAGAGGTGTAGACTGAAAAATAACACTGTAGGAAGTCCAAAAGTGTGGTTTGCTATCCACAGAGAAATAAAACAAGCTGTTAGCCAATCCGATAGCACTGCCCTTTTGAAAAGCGCACACATACAATTTTTACTTCAGAGAGGCCTGTGAAATAGAAATTGAATGTTGTTTGGTGGGCTGCAGTGTATACGACAAAACACTTGTGAGCTCAAATGCATGGTTGTGGGTGGACAGAAAAAAAAACAAGTTAAGACTCCTAATAAACATCTGACATTAGCTCTGTGGACCTGTGAGTCACCACATGTGGAGCTGCTGGCCACAGCTGTGCAGGAAGTGGATGGAGAAGTGCCTATGAAAATGTGTGTGTGTGCTACTTTCACCTTTGAGCTTTATTTCTAGCAGCCCGGAGCTAAATAAAACACCTCTCCTTGCTATTCTGCTCCTCTTACCACCCACGTCAGTCTCACTGAAAAGATACAGCTACAGTAAACCACTCAGCATTTAATAATGGCAGTGAACGAGACCTGAGGAGAACTGGAAATTTATCGACTGCTTCATTCGAGACCTTTTGCAGTCGTTTCATTTGGCTTTCTGTAGAAAGAATGTGTGGAATGACATTTGCAGGGGCTCATCTTGAGGTGCAAAGCTAAGACTGTGTGTTTTTTTATGTAGGAGTTGCGTGAGAAGGATGAAATCTCTCAGTTTGGGGCTTTGGAGGCTCAGTTTAGGCCCCAGAGGAACTCCTGAGTAGATCAAAACAGCCATCTTAAAAAAAATCTGAGAAACTTCAACCGTCTTACTCTGCATTTACATTCATCCCGATGCGCTTTAGTGAGCTTCATCTACCCGTCTCTCTTTTGTCATTGTCTGTGGTGTGGGAGGAATTTTTTTTAATAGTCATTTGCATGGAGCTGAAGTAATCTCACTGGCTAGGCTCATGGAAGGAGCAGAAAAGAGAATGGTGAAAGCAAGAAGTAATGCTCAACCGTGCTTGAGTTGTTAATGACAAGACCACACAAAAGCTTGTAAGTGTGTGTTGTTGTGAATGGCATGCTAAAAGGATACTTGTGGTCAAAAGTATACCAAAGTCTGAAAAGCCAGGCGCTCTCCTGCTTGGTCTTGCTCTGCCCTTCTGACTGGCTCCCATCCTGAGGAGAAAAAGAGAAAGTTGGTGTCATTTGTTTAATCTCGGACATGCTTAAGGAACCTTTTTAACATGTATATCGTGCAGTTCAATCAATATTGTTTCATTTCTATCACAATTAAGCTCAAACATATATGTCAATAACAAGGGGGCTGGACATGTCAGATACTAGAGAGCATCGAATTGGTCAGAAGATTTGATGAGTAACTGAAATTTGAGGTGATGCTGAAAAAAAGTTTATCCATTTAGGCGAATGTGACAAACTGCAAGCTTTGGATGTTTATATCTTCTCAATGTGAATCATCACTGTTTTGGAGCATTCTAACTTATAGATATTATTATGACTAACCAAGTGGCAACATGCCGCTTTCCCTCAAGAAAGCTAATATGGAAGTAACTAATATTGCAATTGATGGAAATTCCGCTAGTCTTGGCTCCAAAATAAAGCACATTTCTATTGACCTAATGTAAAATGCCCAACTTTACAGCAGAAAAAAAGGTGTTTACAGCCTAGTACAAAGAACGATTTAGGTTCATATAGCTAATATTAGACTTCATGACAACGGTGAGGGGGGTGCATTTTTTTATAACTCATCTGTTTCATTTATATTGTTATATTAAGTCTGCATAATTAAGGGAGTGGCCAATTGAATGACAGCTAGGTCTCGCTGCTCACAGTCACGTCATTTCGGCTGATTAGCCGCTGAACTTAGCATATACATCATATTTTTTGTTGTTTTATGTACCTTTACATAGGCAATTGCCATTTGGAATTATTTCCAACAATTATCAGATAATATAGCATGCTGCATGCTTTAATTGTGCTCACAAACCATTCAAGTGGCCTCCATTTCCCAGGTGACTGAAATTCTTAAGTAATTTGATAATTTAAAATCATTTATTATTTTCTTTATAACTGTAATGCACTTCAGAATCCGACCGATTGATTAGCTGTAGGCTATAGAACAGTAGTCTAAAATGTTTTCGTAAAGTGTTATGCCTGGATTACATTGGTGACGGTTGGCCACATTTGCTTCATTTGCACACTTTAGAAACCTATGAGTGATTACACGGATACTACATCCATATCTTTTAGAGTCTACGAGACTAACATATTGATACTAACAACTAAATATATATGTATTATTTTGATTTCACAGGGAATTCAATTTATGTTTAAGAACCACAATTTCAGCAAAAATAATATTAATAATAATAATAATAATAATAATAATAATAATAATAATAATAATAATAAACTTGTTTTACCTTGTTTCATAGGGCACTCACTAAAAACCTTATGGAGAAAACAGTGAAGTATTACAGAGAGTTTTTAAAAGGTATTTGAACTTGACTTAAAAAAAGATTTTTATGTTGCCCCAAAAAAGGTTAATGTTCTATAAATAAAAAGAACAACTGACTTAAGTGGATTTGTTTAAAAATTCACCACAAATTTTTAATTTCAGAGTGAACTACCTGTTTTTATTTCCACAATTTAACATGTATTTCCCCTATTTAACTTCAGCCTACAACAACAATCCATGTTGCAATCAAGTTATATGACGATATAACTATGAAGATAATATCACGATATATGTCAAATCTGTCTAAATACTGAAGATACTAAAGTATATCTAAAATTTAAAATGCTTTTTAGAAATTGAAATGTTAGCAAGAAATTCAGCCATTTTATAATAAAAGGTTTAAAAACCCAGTGTGTAAAAAAAGGGTTTAGCATCTCTACTGTCATTCACAATACGTGCCACATGATACCAGGCCCCACAAATGAATTCTGCATATGGGTGGAATGAAATCTGATACTAAACCTTTATCCTATACAATAAGCTAACACACTTGCTGTTCATCCACTGATTTTGCATGTGCAGTCAAACCTTCATTGTTCTTCCCAGTGACCAGTATGTTTATCCCAGTTCATCTAATCTCATGAGTTCAGGTTCAATGCATTTAAAGAGATTACAGATTAACACTATCACAAACAAGCTCAAAGTAACACAACACTGCGATCTACCCTAAGCTTGCTATATTCCTTTAGCGTAATACTATAGAGAGAGGACCACTGTTAATAAGATATGTTTGACAAATATAGAAAGTGTACATCAGGAAAAGTTACGCGATATGCTTATTAGGGTTGTCACAAAAAAGAAAGAAGAAATAACAATGATTGAGCAAAAACAGCTTGAACATGATACACTGGGAAAAAAGACTTGAACTGCTCATTCTACTTGCTTATGTAAAATGAGTTGAAATAACCCAGTTCTTAAGATTTCTTTGTGGACAACTTAATTGTTTTATGTTCAACTCACATACACTTGTACAAACAATTAAGTTAATCGATTTGTGTTGGGACGACATGAAGGAATTATGTGGAATTCAGCATTTGTATACAGTGTATGTCAATATAAAAAGTCTGTTGTTCAAAATAATAATTAAAATAATAATAATAGCATGTTGTAATGAAATAATAGAAGCAGTGAGTTTTTCTTATCTTGTTAGTTGACTGATTAAAATGATCTACACTGTAAAAAAACGCTGGGTTCCACATATTTCCTTCATGTTGTCCCAACCCAAATCGATTAAGTCACTTCATTGTTTTTTTACAAATTTAAGTGAATGGAAAACAAAACAATTTCTGTCATGAACACTGTTAGTATGGACAAAGAGCTTAGAATGATTCTATGCTCTTTGGTATGGATTTAGTATGGTAATGAATATGTATATGACAATGCTGATGTATTTGGTCTTGGTGGTATAGATCTGCTACGCTGCTGCTGCTTTGTTTATTATGAGAGAGCTAGTATCGAGACCTGCCAGTATATACACAGGCATGCCGTCTGAGAATATAACATGCTGGTGTGCAAACATATAAAAACCCCTGCAACAAATCTAGTCGAGTTGTGCATAAAGTCTCATAGCAGATATTTAACCAAGTTGTCCCAAAAAAAAAAAAAAAAAAAAGTTTAAAATTGGGTTTTTTCGACTCATTTTAAATTAGTAGTCTGAACAAGCAGCAAGTCTTTTTTTGTGTTTGTAATTTTGCAACAATAATTATACTCTTTATAATTCAATTATTTGTAACTATTATTTGTATGTTTTCTCATTAAATGATTATAAAATGTTCTGTTTTAAATTTTGTAATACATACAGTACCTTTAAATATATATACATATATATAAAAAAAGCGAATGATGAATTGATTTGATCTTAGATCTTCAATCTAATTGACACATTTTCAATTATTTAATAATTTCCTCAAAAAAAATTAAACTGTTTTATACTACACACTATTCTTGACTGCCCATAGCCAGTAAGTACATTCACAAAATTATGATTCCTCAAGAAACGTTATTAATGTCTGTCTAACAGTGATGTTGAAAAAAATAATACAGTGAAAAGCCCTCTCTCCTGAACATCTTTAAAAAACAGGTTGTTTGAAATCACGGTGTTTTGGTGACACGTAAAATTATGATGGAAGGCAAAAAGTAAATCAACTGAATGGGAAACAAAGGAAAGTCCACATTTTATAACACATTTTAGGAGATATAAGGAGATATAACTAGAAAATAACCACATATGTTGGGCAGGATCCTTATATCTAAAATATTTTCGCCTGTCATTGAGGCGGAATATACCGTACAAGCTATTACATTTAATGAAAAAATACTATAGTTTGGAAGCATACTATAGATAATTACTTGAGTTAAACTGTTGTAGTAATTATATTGTCGCTGTGGTACAACACAACTGCAGTAATGATCAAACTATTCAGTAGGCTTCAGTTTTCTATGCTATAATTATACACCATCACAATGCAGCAGAGTTTACACTAACGTTACAGTATTTATTACAGGTTACTGGTTTACCCCACTACAGTATTCTGTAGCATTCATTAACAAAGAGTTGTACACATTATACACTTTACTGTGTGGTTCAAAAACAGGTTTATTATAAATTTCTATAGTTTTTTCCCATGCGCATATCTTCCAGACATCACGGAATAACAGATGAAAGCCTACAAAAGCATGTCACACAGTCTACATTATTATTTCTGTTTGTAAGAGGGAAAAGTGCACCACAATAATAACCATGTAGTTTTGTCGCAAGAGTTGCATTTAATTTTTGTTCAATCAATGAACTTACCATCAACAAATATTTATCACTGCTGAGCATCTCGATGTTCACGTTACAGTTGTTTATTCCACTTAAAGACTTGGATTATTGCAAAACAAGACGAAGATTTCATTACAGCGATTACATAGCAGGGTACAGCTTTTTATATTCTCCTGGATTTTGTATAAGTGTGGGAGTGTTTGTATCTGATTTTTATCTAACACATTAACATGTTTATAAACATAGCAAGGCCTGTATATAAGCTTTATTTGTGCTGCCAAATGAATTATCATGTTCAAAAACTGTCGCATTTTCTGCCATTTTTCAGTCAGTTTCTTGATCTTTCTTCCCTTTATGAGCAAAGTCTATAAAAGCTGTTTGGCATTTCCTATTTTTGCCGATTTAAACAATTATAAACATAAAACAGAAACATTTTGATGTTCTGATAGTGATTCCTATGCAGAAGAACCACTTCCTGCCCTCCATCTGAATTTCGTGCGTCATCAATGGCATAATGTGAAAACAACCTTCTTTGCTTCATTCAAAAATTGCACTTACTATAATGACCATGCTTTGTTTTAAAGAAATGGTTCACCTAAAAAAAAAGAAAATCCTTATTTATTCACCCTAATTTTTGAAATCTTATGTAAGAAAGAAAGTCATACAGACTTGTGACAACATGAGCGCGAGTTAAAGTGAGCTTGTAAACTATGGCTTGATAGTTGTTAACTGTAGCTTTAAGAAGACTTTCGTAAATCTGACCCTGATTGTTTGATCAACCTATACGGTTATAAAAAGCTGATGCTGAAAAGTATTTTTACCAGTTCTCATTTGACCAGCGCGTGCAGTGTGTACAATGTGATTTCGCAGAAGCCAAGAGGATGATTGGCTTCTACTGATCTGATTTCTGTCATTGCCCTGTAATGGAACCAGTTAACCCAGGATGAAGAGAGGAGAAGTGTCATTAGTTTCCAAGGTCTCTACTCGTAATTAGCTTTGCCGTTCTAATTTCAGTAACAATTCTTGATATAAAAAGCAACTTGTGTCTCTGGATTGGTACATGGGCAGCAGCTTTCACAATCAACATGGGCATTAGTGTTGACCCACTTTGCTTAGCTGTTGAAGGGGTATGTAATTCTTATCTTCAAACAGATCAAAAACACTTTAAAAGCAAAGCTGGCGTGACCTTTTTATATAGCCAAAGAAAAACGGAAGTATGACTTTGCATGTGGTTTTGTTCATGACAAAAGAAAGAGTGTGACAAGCTCAACATTGGAATGCTCTTGGAATATTATAAAGCTGATCACTTAAAAAGCAAATCTTACCAAGTTGCACAATTTTGAAGCACCAATCAAATGTTTAAGACTTGAAATTTAGGGCAAGAGAACAGAAGGAGACATTAAAACTCACTCCCTGAAGGACCTGGAAGCTGTCCCCGCATGGCTGAAGATCCTGATCGGGGTCCACTCCAACTCTGAAACAGACAGAAAGGGCACATCATTCTGTCTGTGTGCAAATGTGACGCAACCATTTTAGCCACAGTGCAGTCTGTAGCCACATGAGCACTGAGACCTTTCAGCAAAGCCCACAGCGAGCAGCAGTAGATCAAGAGATAAAGACACACAAAAGACTCAAGCAGAGAGAGATTGATCATTATGATTCAAGTTCACACAAATGCAGCTAAGCTGTGTTACAGAAATCATTTAGGTCAGGGGTTCTCAACCTTTTTCATTTCTTGGCCCACTACTTTGATCAATTTTAGAAGGCCCACCTGTCTGACATTAAAAAGCACACAGACTCGATGAGAATCACAGGCCAACACTGCAAAAGACCAGCTTCGGCATTTAACTGGACAGACTGAGTATCTACTATTAAATATCTACTATTTAAAAATATACAAATGTAAAATACTGTAAAACAGCCTAAATCTGTAAAAACGCATCAATCTGATGGCGGTTGAGTTTGCAGCTGGATATTATTGGGAGATCACTGACAGTAACAGTGAACTGCTTCACCAGAAGCTGCGTCTGAAGCTCATATGAAAGTTTATTTAACTTCTATGGCAGAAACACCATTAAGCATCGCTAGATCCTCCTTTATGGTATATGTAATACTAACAGAACATTAATATACACAACTATGTAGATATTTTGAGTAGTTCACAAAAAATACACAAAGCGAGATTTTCCCTTTTACTTTACACAGTTTTTTATGAACAGACAGAATTTGAGAACAGGAGAGTGCATTAGTTTGATCATTTTAATATAGCATGTTAATAATGAAAGCCAAAAATTGTAATATTGAGAATTGATTATAATATTCAATATTAATTATAATATTGAGAGTTAATTTTAAGTTTGCGGCCCACCCGCAGTATCGCTGAGCCCCACCGGTTGAGAATCCCTGGTTTAGGTGACTTGCTGATAAATCCACTCATAAGTTTTCTACAGCTGGTCACATGTCTAAACTTCAAGAAATTATTTGGGGTTTTTCATATCACCTAATTTATACTACCACTAAACGGAATGTTTAAACAAAATAAACATGAGCAAAATCTGTAGCATATTGTGAAGTTTTATTTTATCACCAAGAAATGATATTCAAAAATTAACTTGTGCAATTATTCTATATCAAATAATGTCACAAATGTTTTCATAGTGTTGCATTTTTTGCATTTGCATTATTTTATTCTACATCCCAAATCCTAACCAATACCTAAACCCAACTACCTTACTAACTATTAATAAGCAGCAAATTAGTTCTTGATTGAAGTACTAAACGTCTTGCCTAATGGTCTGTCAACAGCAAGAAGTGTTACTTAAACTAAAGCAGAGATGCCCAAACTAGGGCCCACGGGCCAAAGTTGGCCCATTGGAACCTTTGATTTGGCCCACCCTGCCATCTGAGAAAGGAATATGAATGTTGAGCAGGGTTGGGATGAATGATATTACCAGAGATTGTCATTTCTAATTTAAAATATCTTTTTTTTTTTAGTTTTTTTTTTTTCATTACTGAGCTACAAAAAAATGTCCAAAAAATGTTTGATTTAAATGTTAATTGCAAATACGTAAATAAATACATTTAATAGTTTTTTCCTGTAATGAGTTCATGATAAAAAGTAAAAAAAAAACGTAAACTGTGTTTGTTAACACAAAGCAATGTTTCAATCTATTATTAAATAAATTAGGAAGTTTTAAAGACATTAGCACACCCTTCTAAAGCCTCCACGGCTGGTTCGATGTCAGTCAAACGGTCTTTTCTAGTATCCTGTAAGTGTAACACGCCATGGCCAGAACAAACTGCAAAGTGCACAATACTTCCGTCTAGATCAATGACCAACCTTGCGTGAACCACCGGCCATGTTCTCCCATTCGCTTGACTGGTTGAAATCGGAGGAGAACCCAGAAGACCTTTAGAGCTCAAAGGGTGAGATTCTGCTGAGATAAGTGATCCACTAGGTGAACTTTCGCTCTGGCCTTTAAGTACATTGACTGATCCAATGGCTCGTCTTTCATTCTCTCTCTCAATTAAAGCAGTGGATATGATGTGGACATTGGCTATTGGACCTCAAGGACCAACAGAGACTTCATTGTGAAAAGTGTTTTGAGGGTTAGCAGATGCTGAGACTCTACAGTGCAGCCCATGTGGACGCTCGCCAATAAAAACAGAAAGAGCTGACTTATTATCTCTCTTTGCTCTCAGAAGTTGTTAAACGTTTACTGAATGACTTATCTTTTCACAGTAAGCAAGGAAGGTTAGGTTCTCAAAAGCTGGGCGATGATAATTAAAATAGTGAATTAAAAAAAACTGTTAACGTTCTTCTGTGAAAGCCAGTGACGCATTTCTGTGACAGACTGGGTGTCTTAACAAGCTTCTGTTGTTTCTGCCACGTCTGGGGGAGAACTGTCTGGAAAACTCTGGCTTAAAGAAAGACTGCCTGAGTTAGTTGCCCAAACTGGATTTACAGCTCTGGATAACACATCTGTACACATATGGTTTACACTGGGAAAGGGGAAATGGTGGGGAAGGAAGAAGCTTGAACTATGTACAAATCAGTAGCTCCCAAACTAAAAGGCGGGTGTTAAAGGGCCGAGGCCAGACTAAGGCAGATTGTTAGACAAAAGAAATGTCTTCCAAGGGATATAAGAGCACACTGTATAATCTTCCTACTAGTTTGCAGGTCTGTTATTTATGCTTAAGGTGTAAATAATGAAACGCCTATCTTTATTTTAATATTTCAAATATTAAAGGGCACTTATGATAAAAATCATCTTTTTGAAGCTTTTTGGACAGAACTGTGTGTGTTGGTATAGTGTGTTCACTGTTATATTGGGGTTATATAAAGACAATAAGTCTCTTTTTTTAACTTCCTGACGTTAAAATAGGATCCAAGTGACTCCCATTTTAAGGCCAGCCGCAACATGATGCAGAAGTGTGTTTTCCCCACCCACTGATTTGATTGACAACCGCGTATTAACATGTCTAAGTAGTAATGCGTACATAATATCAACAAGACAAGACCTGTGCAAAGCAACTGGGATTAGAAGATCTGTTCAGCTCTCTGTGATCATTTAGTACATTTTCAAAACAGTTACTGAATTACAGCGATTTTACCATCTTTACTTTATCACCACATGTCAGTACAATTACAAAGGATGATGATTCAATCCCGGATTGTGGACGTTACATTAGGTTTATTTTACACATTAACATAATGGATATCCATACAGCTCTGTATATTAACGTGTATCCTGTCACATTTGCAGTGCAAAATCAGTCAAAGTTAAGAACACGCGCTGTGTGTGTGCGAAACTTTGTAACGACATTGTGTGTGACTCATCACAGACTTGAATTACCTCCACAACAAACACATCAAATAATCATTGGGTAAGTTCTTACAGCATTATTTCTCCCCTTCTTTCATGTCTGTCACTGTGCTGTTTATCTAATGTACACAGCTGAAGATTGAGACATACTCCGACAAGGATGTGGGTACAGTGGGCAGGGAGAACTAGCATTAAAACCACAGGCAACAAAAACTGCTACATAGTGTTCAGAGCAGAAAATTCCAATATTCTGAAAGGTATAATAAATAATCTGATGGGTGTTTTAAGCCAAGACTTTACAGACACACTATGTAGACACAAAAAATTTATCTTAAATCTTGGGAAAAAAAAGGGTAAAGGTGCCTTTTAAATGTTTTATATGGCTCAAAACAGCGCACACTTGAGTAGTCTGTGATTAGTTTAATCAGTCACAGCCATGCAAAAACAGAAAACTACATGGGACGGCTGAAGAATCAAAATAGTTGTATGAAGAAGTCCACTATATTGAAATATTAATGAATGAATGTCTTTTTTTTTATTATCTTCAGATAAGTTTGTGAAAGGACGGTCAGCGCCATGTGAAGAAGTGTCAATAAGCGGGTGCATGAAATCTACTGTATAACTCACAAATAATTCTTAAGGCGAAACAGGACGGCATTAATAATAATAATAATAATGATAATAATCCATTACTACATGAAAATGGAATGTTTGGAAACCATTGTTGGCAGTTATGAATAATAATGTGATATATGTAATATGTGATATATGTAATATATGTAATATATTGACCAGCATGTAAAAAAATAATAATAAAATTGTGAAAAAAGCAAGAGCCAAAACAAAACAGGAAACGGAATGTAAGCAAATTAAACAATATCTTGCAGTGAAAATGGAAATACTTGGCTGGCTACTGTAATGGCTAGGCCTTCAGCTGCAGGATAGGCTACTGATAAAGGGTTACGAGGAGGTCAGAGAGGACATTTCAAACAAAGAGAAAGCAAAGATTGAGGAAGAGAGTCAAAAGCCACCCCTGACTAAAGTATGCACACGCGTGTCAGTGTGGTGGATATTTAACATTTCCTTCCTGTAAGAGAAAGCTGCTGTGCGCAGATACACTGAAGCCAAGGGCAGCAGATTGTTTGCAGTGGATGCAGGTATAAGCGGATGCTTATTAATTTCGAATGACTAATCTCATCTCTATTGATGCCTCGGTATTACTCATCTGCAGTCTTAAGCCAGGAGGCTGTCGAGTCTATGCCAGTGAGCTTTTATGTACAGATTTCCTTTGGCACCCCAATGTTAAAAACAGGAACGACGGCGCACACATTCTTTCAAAGTGACTCCCACCAGATTTAAATACAGCCCTGGAAGAACAGCACTGGCACATTACAGAGACTAACTATTAAGGACAAACATTTGAATGTGCAGAGGAAGTTAACAGCATACAAAAGGAAGCTTTTAGTGAGTAAAAGAGAAGATTATTGCAGGTGCAGAACAGATGAATAGAAGCAGTAGGAAGATAAAAATCAGAAGAAGAGTATATTGCTTTTGGAAATATATTACAATGTTTGCTGTGAAATTAGACACCATTTCAGAGTTCAATTGATAGAAAAAAAAATGAAAATAAAAGTGCTACTGTGAATAACAAACAGGATTACTGGAAAAAAGCTGCATCAGCGCAGCTAAATATCTTAATTGCATTTAAACTAGTGCTTATCTGATCAAAATTGCTATTTGAAATATGATTTACTATAATTTCAAGAGTTACATGTTTGATGTAGTAGTTTAACATCACCAAAGGAAGACCAAGCATAATCACAAAGTACGCTACACTATGCCACTGTGTATTTAAAACCATGTTTTTCCAATAAAGTTGTCAGTTGTCATGACAAATTAAGAAAATAACAACAGTATTATAAATTTAATTAAATACATTAAATATAAAATCTTATATATAGATATATAAAACCTTCACATTTAGATCACATTACACTTTTCATATTGATTTCCTGACATTCACGGTGCACTGACAATGCTTTCCATACACATCTAGATTTTACTTCACAGCACAAGAATTCTTGTAATAAAATGTATAATTCATAAATGCATTTATATTTATATCATATTTTAAATACAATTTTGCATTTTAATGCAAGCAGTTGGATAAAAATGTACTGTACCTTAATTTAATGAATTGTAAATCAAAGAAATCCCTCTTTTTGAATGTATCAGACAAAACTCAAGGACATGCACAAAAAACATGAGCATTTATAGGAAACAAATCAATGTCTTTTTAAATAAATGTATTATCCCGCTTGCTTTTTGGCCGTTGTCAAATGAGTTCTTAAACACCTGTGATTGGTCATTGTGTTCCTGCACTCAACAGAAAGGGCTGTGATTGGATCGAACGGTTATCGCAGCTCAAGACAGTAGGTTCTGCTGTAACAGTTGTCTGCTTTTTAAGTAATGTTAATTGGATCATTTCAATTTCTTGCGCTTGCCTCCTTCGCCATAGTAATTATCGAAATAATCGCAGCTTTTGAAATTAGAAAACTGTACCTTTTCAAACCGCGATTTCAGTTTAAAATCGATTAATGGTGCAGGCTTAATTTAAACAGTTACAGATTATGATATATGTTATAATACATATATAGAGTAGTGATTGACCTTGGGCCCCATTTAAACCTGATATAAAATTTTACTTTCGTCAATTCAATCAGAATTAAGCCATGCAAAATACAGGCTAAAGCATTTTAAGCTTGTCCACTTTCTACTTCATCCAGGGATATTTCAAATAGATTTGATCAGTTTGCTTTCATAGTTTCAGTGCTTATCTAGTTAAATGTTTAATGAACAGCCACAAAAACAACTAAAATGTATTAATTTTAGTAGGCCTGTCACGATACCTACTTTCTGTTATACGATATATTGCACCAAAATATATTGCGATAAACGAGATCATTGTCACTTTAAAGCCATTTTATGCCACTTAATGCCAGAATGACAATTTTATATCATCATAATGCAAGTACACTCGTTAAAAGAACATATTTTATTCTTAACAATATTTAATTTTAATCATTTTAAATATTTATCATTAGACAATGGAATCAGAGTGTGAAAAGAGCATATCCTAAATAAATAATATTAAATGTTAACCAAAAAGGTGCAAGGTAAAAATTAATATTTGCTACCAGATCTATTTTCAGTCCTCAGACACCCACATGAAAATATTCTATAGTAATTTATAGTAAATACTATAGTGTTTTTTTTTTTTTTTTTAACCAAACTGACACTAAAATTGGTTTTGATCTAAGGGCTATATATTTTGCATCACCAAAAATAATTGGGGGTCATGTCCATGTGTTGTGCAATAAGTCGATATATTGGTTATTGTTAAAGGCCTACATTTTAGTTGCAAATGCAAAACAAGGTATTCATACTTTGTTGGATTGCATTGCACTTGGGACCTAAGTTGTAAGTTATTATGGACTTTGTGTTTCACTTCCTCAAGCTAAATGGTGTCTTTATAGTATATAAAAAGCATTTTTCACATGTAGTGTGTTGTATAATATTTTATTAAATGCTATTCCGCATTTTTAAAGTTGTTGAAATGTTACCGTAGAAACCCATTTGCAATCATTTAGAAAATATAATAAAATTAGGAATTTGTATAGTTATTTGCATAGCTAGTATAAACCTGTTCAAATAATTGCTTCAGAAATAAATTTTCATTTCCATAGAACAAAATGTAATAATTGGAACAGGTGAAGAACAGAACAGATTTAAGCAATAATAATGTACTAACAGGAAATGCAGTACAACAAAGTCAAAGCAACCAAGAGGAATGTGCTGGAATAAAGCGGAAGCCCAAACATCAAAGCGTCAAGCACCAACATAAACAACTGCGCATTTTACCATGTGAAGCCAAAAGCTTTCCACCACCACCTGTATAAGACTGTAAAGTCCATCATCACCTGTCGTAATTCCACAGTCTACGCATCCTCTCCTTCTCAGCATCAGAAGACTCTCCAACCCTGAGCACAACACAGAACTATTGAGTCCGGCCATCAAACATCCTGATAAAAACTGCTGAAAAAAGTGAAACATCTTCAATGCCTGACTGTGAAGGTCGATTTGTCTTTGTGCTTACTGTATGTATGGCTTTTGTGTTTTGCAGAACATAGTTGCACATAACATCACAAAGCATAAATAAATTAAACAAAACTAAATGAGGAGATGAATACATCCAAAAGAGGTAATGGTTAAAGTGATAGTTTAGACAAAAATTATTTATCATACCACAACAGAAAAAAAAAAATCAGACTCACACTCATACAAATAAAGACAGGAAATACAGTGACCAAAAAAAAGAAAAGAAACACACACACACACAAAAGCATCAAAAAATTATTCATGTGACTTGCCACATATTACTGTTGAAGGGAACTGACGAAAGCAACTCAAATTCAATTTAGTAATTGAATTTAGAAAATCCTATTTTTGATTGTTAGTCTGCACATTCACAAGAGAGTTGGTGTAACAGTCCAACAAATAAAAACAATCGCCCAAAAAGTCAAGCTTTTAGAAATCAGGATAAATAAAAATGCAACACAAACAATTCAAGAACTTTCTTTTCTGAGGTAAATGCATCTGCTGTGTTTGTTGCAGCTAATACATTCTTTTGTCCATGCATGAGATGATAACCGGTTTCAAGGTTTGGAAAAGTCATGGTTTTAAAACCTCTAAAACTGTCTGCGATATAACATGTAATTATTATTATTATTTTTTTTTGTGTGTCAAAGAATATTTTTAAAACTTGTTTAGGGCTACATTCTCGATCTCGAGCAGCAAAGTCAATGATTCATTTCATTTCTTTAGCCTGACATGTTTACAGTGCCAAAATATTTGGAATTTTTCTGAAAATAAAATATATTGTGTTAAATGGGGAAAAAAGTTGCATGTTTTTTTTCCACCAAACATTTTAAAACAATTTATTTTAGAGCAGTAATCACAATATTGTGATGCAGAGAAACCATGATATTTTTATCCGAGGTTATCATACAGTCAGAATCTTAAAGAGCCATGAAACCCCCTGGTTTCAGCAGGGTTTTTTCACACCTCTACTTTGGAAAAAGTCAGGAAAGGGCGTGTCCAGCTCTATTTAAGGGGGGGAGTGTCGAAGGAGCAAAAGAGGGATGGTCTGTAAAAATTTGCATAAAAATGGGAGTGGCGGTTTGGGCACGCACTGATTTTCACAGTGGCAAAACACACACGCACACACGCACACAGGGGAGAAAGACAGTGACTGTGTTTACATGGACATCAGTAATCAAATTATTTGACAAATTATTAAATAGTGGACTTTAACTGCAGTTTGGCACTTTCATTTAGGAATTTCATTCATGTCCCTCGTGACAAACAAGATATTTGATTCGAGGAACTGCTCTAAGCGTGTATTTTTCATGCAATGTTTGTTACCGTACGGCGAATGAGAGAAAAAACCTCCGCATTTTCCGGAAACTTAGATGCACTCGGCAGGTAGCGTCAGAAAGCCATGTGTGTGATTCTTGTCACAAAATGCGGTGAAAATCCTACATGACGGTAAGTTTGATTGTGGTGCTCACATGTTTACACTCGGTATGATAGTTAGTTTGATACGAACTAACTTTGCCATCTGAATAAACAAAGACCACGGCTTGGTAGCTGTGACGTTTGTAGGCGGTGGTGAGAGACTCATGGCTACATCTGTCAACTGTCATCTGACCACTGGTCTAGAGATACTCAACTCAGTGACGGAACTATATGAATAATGGTTTTGGGGCTGGTGTTGATTAGATGTGGCAGTTGATGGAAATGGCAAGATGCGCATAAATTTTGAAAATGTACGTAAAATATTTACGCGTCTGTGCTCTGCATCTCACACCTTCAGATGCTACCACGTGTTCATTGCATGTCGGCATCCTCTTCTGAGTCGTCATTTATTAAAAAGTGAAAAGATTCACACAGCTTCTCCTACCTCAATAAATTCCATTTTTTACTTTGAAATTTGGCACCATTTAATCAGGAAGTGATGATTTTGTTTGCTTTGACTCACTGGATGGAATCGCTGCTTTATTTGCATGTCTTTTATGTGATACTGCAGTTTTGCGCATAAATTTAATTTGCATCTTTGGATGGAAGCATAGCTATTATCGACTCACCCTTAACTTGTTTTAAACCTTTATGAGTTTCTTCTGTTGAACACAAAAAAAGATGTTTTGAAGAATGCTGAAAACCTGTAACCATAGTATTTATTTTTCCTACTATGAAAGTCAAAGGTTACAGGTCTTCAGATTTATTAAAAAAATGTATGTTGTGTTTAACAGGAAAAAAAAGAGAGAGAGAGAGAGAGAGAGAGAGAGAGAGGGAGGGAGAGAGAGAGAGAGTAAGAGTGAGTAAATAGCAAATAGATTTAAATTTTTTTGAAAGAACTGTCCCTTTAAAAGACAGGTTTAGCATTTTTAGATTTTTGCTACAAAAATGAAAGATGAGCATTACACAGCATTACAATTACAGAGTGCGTAAATTTAAAATTTTTGGTCCGAATGGAATGGAATTTGGTGGAATGTCCGTTTAAAAGCATATTTTTGGCATTTAATAAACAAAGGGACTTAATCCAATTTTGCAGTTGAACAAACATTTAAACCAGAGATGGCCAAAGTAGGGCCCTCTGGCCAAAGTTGGCCCATGATAACCTTTGATTTGGCCCATCGTGACATCTGAAAAGAGAGGGAGTAGGGATAGGAAGAGAAGGTGGAAGGGAAAGATGGTTTGGGTGAATACCTTTGCCAGATTGTGATTTCGAATTTAACATAACCGTTTGTTTGTGTTTGTTTGTTTGTTTGTTTGATAGAGGACAATGCACAAGAAATTGGCCAGAAAATCAAGGCAAAGGCAGGAGCAGCTCGAATGTATTTAATATTGAACTCCATCGTGTTATAAATGGGATTGTTTATAAATATTAGCAAATAAATTAGGAAATTGTCCATGGCAAATTTAATGCAATACAGTTTGGTGTATATAAAATATTCGACCCTTAGCTCTCAGGTTGATTTTTGGCCCGTTATAAGAAAAAGTTTGGGCACCCCTGATTTAAACTCTCTGCAAAACAGACTTTCTTTTCCAATGCATACATAAAATGTGTTTGGTGCTTCACATTCCTGCTCTGAAATGGCTCTCTGTGCACAGAGCTCAATGTTTACAGAGTAAGTGGAACCACCCGGGACTGCTCTAGAAAAGAGAGCACTGGACAACAGAGGAAGAAAGTCTAAACCAATGCTAAAGAGAGCTCAGTTTTTAAGCTAAAGGCAATTTCTAAAGTGTCCAAACGCTGACTTCAGGCTCTGCTAAATGTTCATACAGCTGTTTATTCAAATTAAATAACATTAAACATTAGATAAATAGATCTATGATTGTAATGAAGTACAAGAACTGTGATCAGTACAAGATCTGTTTATCAGAATTGTGATTGTAAGAGTCCCCATGTTTTGCATTCAATCTTTTTTCCCCAGCACTTAGACATTACATTTACAAATGCCTAAAAGTAAACCAGTGATTCCAGTTTCAAAAGAGAGCCATGCAAATAGCACTCCTTAATCTTTGGTGACCTGGGGCCTCATGTACGAAGACTTGCGTGGAAATCATACTAAAACATCGCATTCAGATGTATGAAACACTCCGTACGCCGAATCTCATGCATATTCTTTTGTACATCTGAATGAACGTGAAACTGAGTACAACATGCACGAGCACAAAACCCCTCCCTGCCTCCTCCCCCGTATGAATATGCAAATGACTCTACTTTGGCAAAACCCAACGAAAAAGCAATGGCAAAAGCAAGCAAAAAGAGAAACTTTGAACAGAATGTGAATTGTAGGTGCTCCTTTCGGAGGTAGACCGGAGAAAAGCGGTGTTATTTACAAGTTTGTTCTCTGGAATTAACAACAAAAGAAAAAAATTGAGTGGGAGAGTTTAGCTGTTGCGGTTAACACGGTTGGGTCTGAACGTCGCACTAAGTGAATTAGAAAAGAAATAGTGTGATTTATAGGTGTAAAATGTTGCAATACCTTTAACAGTCTCAGTGGCGTAGCTCGTAAGATGCATGTCAACATGTTTTGACACGTTCGAGCATGAACTCGGTTCGAATCCAGCGTCTTATGAACTCTTTCTTCTTTTTTCCCCCGCTACATATCAGATTTTGGCCACTATTTATCACGAGAAAGACAAGTAGGAATCATTAATAAGTTTGTGCATCATATTTTATTTGCACATTTATTGAATGGAAATGTTTCTGATTCACGTATGCAAATTCATCTTCAGATAGTGTCTTTATAGCAATGTGCGTGCAGTAGATAGCTCGGATTACATTGGGAAAACAGGCGACCGCTGCAAATTGCGCTTTAATGTTTAGCTGGTCAACTGTATGGTATGGAAACCTTATATACCTGCTAGATGAACCCGTCTCATACAGCTGCCATTACAAGGCTCAGACACTTTATAGAGAGCAATTTAACACAACTGCCTCTAGGAGTCGCCAATGGAAATAAAACAGACACGCACAAAAAATGTTCGTACGCCAGCCATAAAGCTGGCGTGGAGCTGCACACATTCCCACGTTCAGTTCATTGTTAGTAAATCCAAACGTGAGCGATTCTGAGCGTGAAACCTGGCGTTGTCGTAAATTCTGACTTATCAATTAGAAATTATCAGACCAGAGGTTTTGAATATCAGAAAATAGACTTTATTCTCCATAATAAAGCCGAGAAAGAGCAGAGCAGACCCCAGAGCATTCTGAAGTCTCTCCTGGACACCTTCTGAAGTCTCTCCTGCACCTTCTGAAGTTTCAGTGTGTTTGTTACAATTTTTATACAGGATTATGACACACCCCTAAGTCTCTTTTTAACTCTTGACCATTTTTGAATAGGTTTTTAGTCTAAGGGGCCCTGCTATTCTTGGCTCTCAGCCCACTAGCTCATGTCAGCAGAGATGTTACAGG